CCGCTCCTAAGTAGCCATCCTTCGGTTCGGTACCTCGGCATTCGGCACTACCTTGAATCCACCTCAGGCGGCGCTCCATCATGAGCAGATAGCGCGGCTCGAAGACGTTGAGTTGCATGACCTGCAGCGTCGGGAATGTGAGTTTTGGAAGTCGGAAGTGTCTCGGAGAGCTCTCGGAAGCGTCTCCCGCCTGCCCGGGCAGCAGTGGCTCCAGCACAAAGAGAGGGAGGGAGGAGAGGCCGTCCGCCTCGACTGGCGGCAGCGCCGCCTCTTCCGCTGCGCGCTCCCCCGCCTGCTCGGGATGAAGCCGCCGCACCGCCTACAGCCGAGGCGGCCCTTATCCGTCGGCAGGGCGCCACTCGGAAGGCAGCGGCGCTGGGCGCTGCCTCGGCGAGACTGTAGCTGACGGCAACTGAGCCCGAGCAGAACTCGCTGGGCACGTCGGTGCGGCATGACGGGCAGCGTGGCTGGTGGTCGAGGCACGTGACGAGGCAGCGTCGGCAGAACGAGTGTCCGCAAGGCAACGTCGCAGGCTCGTGCAGCAGGCGCAGGCAGACCGAACACTCGAACGCGGAAGCCATAGAAAGCCTACACAGCACCTCGAAAAGTCCAACTTTGCGAACAAAGAAATAAAACGCGGCGGGCTCGCACGACAGTTAAGGCGTACCGTCCTCCCATCCCTCCCTTGGGTTGTCTGTTTTCTTTCTTTCTTTACAGTTAAGGATCCTCCCATCCCTCCCTTGGGTTGTCTGTTTTCTTTCTTTTTACTACAGTTAAGAATTCTATGTACAAGCCCCTCTCACAGCAGACTGGCACGAACTAGCACAGTTAAGAAAACTTTCTCAATAAAAGAATTTTATCCTGAACTCTCTGAAATGACAAACAAAACTCTCTCTCTCTACTCTCTTCTGAAATGCCCACCTTCGCTTGTTTCTATTGTCTGCACGTCTCGCGCGCGCGTGAACAGGGCTCCAGGCCCCAAAATGACGTAAGAGTGTTAGAGTTGTTTGGTATTGCTAAAAATCTCTCGAAATAAATAAATAAAACGGACACCTCTACTAGGAGATGGGTAAAAAGGAACAGGTCCCCGCCCTGCGGTCTTTGTGCAGGGTTCTTTGTGGGTGTGGTCGGCGACTAGCCGGGGTCGTCCTCCCGATGGGGGACTAGCACTAGCCGTCTTCCACATGGTCCCTCGGGTCCCTGCTGCTCCTAATCTCGTCGTACATCCTCCTGCTGATCTCCGCAACATCCTGCTCCCTCCCTCGTCTCGCCCTGCGCGTCTGCTCTCCGATCTCTCGAAGGCTAGCTCAAAATAAAAGAATTGTACATGGATAAAAATTCCGCCAGCGCGGTTCTGTGCTCGCTCACAGGCAGTCTGTAGCCGGGAGGGAAAATGCACTTCGAGTCTGTGTGTGTGTTGGGGGACGCAGCGGGTGTGTTGATGTCGAAACAAATCTCGATCTCTGTTCTCTCTCTCGACGTCTGTGGGCCAGAGTGTGGTGTGTGTGCCTGTGTGTGTCTCGCGTGCCTTCGTCTGTATTTGCTACCCTCGAATGCGCTCTATCGAGATGCTACCTAGTGCTACCTTACCTGCGGTTGATTCTGCCTTGCATGTGCACACAGTGCGTCCCTCAGTGCCCCTGGGGCTGTCCCCGTATAACTGGCCCGATGTGATACATTGTGGGGTGTGTGCACAGCGGCAATCACAATTTTCTTCCCACGAGTGCGCGTTGCAATCTGTCCCCTTGCCCTGTTTCGCTTGACCAAATCCACGATACGTTCAAAATACGCATCTCCGCATTCTTATTGACACATTCTCCGATTGCAATGCAATAGCTGCGGCGATGGCGCAGACTGGCTTTGTCCTTTCGCCGCGAGCCGCACGCGAGGCCCTCCTCTGCGCCTACCCGACCGACGCGAGAACCGTGCAGGCTCACCAACCCCACCGCACCCACCGCCCTCTGCACACACTCCTTGCTTTACCCCACCTTGCCCTTTCAGATCGCAACCGGCAAGTCGTGTCGCGAGGGCGTCGTGGGCGTGGTTGGAAGCCCGCGCCTCTGCGTGCCTGGCTGCGCAGACCTCCGGTGGCAAGCACGGACTTCTGATGTTGCGCACAAGAGGGGGATGCAACGCTCCCTCTTTCTGGGTCCGTAGGCTCTACCCCCATGCGCGAAGGCAGGCATCTGATGCACGGCAGCACGCCCACCTGATGACTGATAGGCGCGGAGCGGATGGGCGGCCCATTAGGCCATGGTGTCAGGCCACCGTGGGAGACGAGCGGGCCACCGCGGAAGACGAGAGGGCAGCAGGTGGCGGGTGCGCCTTCCAGCCCTCTGCCCTCGCAGCCATGTTAAAGCTGCACCGCGGCCGCCTCGCGAATACGACGCGCGAGCACCGCGAGGCGGCCCTCTCCGGCCGCTGCCGGTACCCGCATTGCCGGTACCAAATGCGCTCTCCCCTCGATCTCTCACTGAACAAAATGAAACGCCGAAGCTTTGAACATACAGTCTGTACAACGAGCTCGTCTTCGACCTCGCTGTTTGGGAGAGGCAACCCCTGCGCCTAACCCTCGGGTGACCGGACCGCCCTGATGAGGTTGG